ATTATAAATTGCTCCCGATAAATGCAATAGGCTGAAGGGTATAGAAGGGATAAATTTTTCCCCGCTCCTGTTTCAGGAAATATTGCTGCTGTTTACGTGTTTTCTTCCTTGTTCATTGTCTTGCTTGGATGCAGAGTGACACCCCTTAGAAACGGATGCTCAGCAGCTTTCCTGTAATTCAAGAGGAGAAACTCAGTCTTGGCACATTTCCACTCTATCCAGTAAAGTTCTGATTGCTTAGCAGAGCTAGCTCTGAGCTAATCCTCACAGTGAGGCTTATGAAGTGGAAACTCTTGGTGACATGAGATGGATGCTTAGAATTATTTTAGGTAGATGCAAAACATAATTATGTGACATCAGAATACCTGAAACTAATTTCTACATCCTTATGTATTTTTGTAGTCTTTTGGCATGTCAAAGGGTACGCTTTTGCATAGCTGCATTTTCTTTTTGCTTGCATAGTGGGAAAACATCTGCAGGCCTTTAAAGCTACATGTAATCCTCATTCTAACAAATAATTTGGGACATTTGTACAGTTGTGAACCTGCACTGTAATCCTGTTTATAGATAAAGACCTTGTGGAATTACTAGAACATGTAAAATGGCTATGATGCATTCTTTCATCCTGAAAGACTGCTTATTTTCCACAATTCCTAAAATTTGCACATTCTGTAGATGTCATTGGAATACTTCCTTGCTGCCTAGAATTGAGTAGTTACAGTATTTTTTGTTTTCTACCACTGTGTAGTAGTTTGTTCTGGAGATACATAAAAAATTACAGGCATGTGTAAATAATATATAAGTAAATTTTTTTCAGAGCAGATTCTTTCACAGCAGTTTGAATATTTCACAGTTCTGATCCTGTTTTTCTGTTAGTTTGTTCTGCTAACAGAACTAACCCTCTGTTCCCTTGTACCTCTTCTATTTGTGGCTTTTTTGAGGACGATCTGCCTCATTCTCAAAGGCCAGTCAAGTGTATGGCAGTCACCATGTCTTCTCCTCGAGTGCTCTGACATTAATGCATACAACTCAAAATGCTTTTCTTGTGTTTAAACAAATCGTCCTTTTGGTTTAATGATGAACTAGCTGCTGTTGTAGACTCCTGATTGTAGGGACCATCCTGTGCTTCATTTGGCA